CTTCCCGCGTGTTTTCCGCGGCATCAACCTCTCCTCGATGTCGGACCCCGGCAGCGCTTCACCCCGCAGCTTCTGCAACAACAACCTCGCGCCTTCCAATTCTCCTTGCGTGTGCGGCTGTCTCGAAAATGGCCGATATATGAGCAGACCCTGTCGAGTCTTCACGCGCGTTATGGCCGCGTAGCTCGACATCCAACTCACGTTTCTGCCTTCCCCCAAGTCCGCAATTGCCGCGTCGAGCGTTCGCCCTTGCGCTGCGCGCGCCGTGCGCGCCAGCCCGGGCGAAAGTATAAACTGTCTCCGTCGCACCCCCAGCGCGGGCTTCTTTCGATGCGAGTCCAGATGCCACGTCCGAGCACGAGGGGCTAGGGGATGCAGTCCGGGCCCCGGCACCCCTTTCAGCGCCCACTTCTCGGCGCGAAAGTCCAGCGCGATTTGCCTCGGCATCTCGCGCCGGACTCTCGACGACACGTCCTGCACGTCTTCTTCTTCTTCACCTACCACCCATGAATGCATCGTCGCGCGACACCCTCGTAGCAAGTGCTTCTCTGATCTGTCCAAATGGTCCGCCAGTGCAACTGGCATGCCCACGGCAAGCGGCAACCATCCTGGCACGTTTGCACAGGCCTTGTCGTGGTATCCGAGCCACCGCACTTTGTCTGCTGAGGTGCACGGCCTTTCCTGATACGTAGCGTGCGTGGCCTTATCCCGCGCATAAACCCACGAAATCTGCCCCTTCTGGCACGCAGCCCAGTCGACGGCCCGCTGCCGCGCTACCTTGCACTTCACATCCTGATTCGGATATATGGCAGTGGCTTCGACGAATTGTGGAAGTGCGAACCGTTCGTCTGCGGCGCTGGTGGCTACGAGACATCGACGCTTTCTTTCCTCTGCGCACTGTCCACACTCCAGCCCGTTGTCCTTTGCGATAGGCGCCACGTTCTGCACGCAGGATAGCGAACCACACATTGGCTGGTCATGCAACCAAGACCCTGGAACATCTGTAGGTTTCCCATGCAGAAACTGGTGCGTCCTTTCGGTAAGGGCTCCCCGTCGGAACTCATTTTGCACTGCCAGGAACCACTCGTCCTTCTCTTCCAAACGCTTGCACTCTACCAATTCCGTCATCCCCGCCACGGACCCCGGCCCCTCGCCCCAGAAGATGTACTGACCATGATCTTCTTCGGCGCCTGGCGCATACTGCCTCGCCTCCCGTACCCATGACGTCGGAACGGAATCGCATGCAATGGAGTTCCGCAAGGAGGTTCCAATTGGTAGAAATCTCAGCAGAATAACACATTGACACCTCCAAACGGACGGTCTACCTGGTCGGCACCCACCTCGCCTTGCCTCGCTGCTGACATCACAGACCGCAAGTGCGCATCCAGCTCTGCAAGAAAACTTGCACTGACCATGCGGATTTAATCGATGATGAGCCAACGCCACTGCTGAATTCGCTTCGCTGCCTCTACTTTCTTCGCACCTGGCTCTCCGCGCTTCTTACCAGATTCCGCACTGGCGCCGTGCGGGGTCATCCCAAACGCGGCGTGCAACGTGTGCCCATCCAGACTGGACGCGTACGCGGCTTGTAACGCAGCAACTTGGAAGTCCAGCCCGCGTTCCCAGCCCATGACTCCTTCGAACACGTGTTTTCGTAAGGTCTCTACCACGAAGCTCTCCCCTGTGCCTGGGCCTCCGCGCAGCATCCACAGCAACGGGGGCCTCGTTGCCAAAGGAGCAGCCGCCGCGCGAAACGCACCCTTCCTCGCGACCCTGAAACAGCCGCATGCAAAGCACATTGCCAACCCAGACCGCAAGACACGATTCTCTTGGAGCAACTTTGAATAGATTGCGGAAGCGTTGCTGTCGTCGAAACTTAATGTCACACTGACACACGAGCATCCCAATGAAACTCGCACGAACGGTCTTGTCGGAGGAAGACCTGGCTGCCAAAGGATCTTGCGCCGAACGTGCGCGACCATCCTCAAGCCCCTACCACGACCGCATAGAGAATGCACACTCACCACCACGCCGCAAGGAGCGAATATCCTCACGCGACAATTGGGTTTGGACTTTTCTTGATCTGGTCTCGATCTGTCCAAAGCCTCCAACGCGCCTCCGAGGATGTCACCCTCCAGAAGGCACCCCCGTTGGTCCGGAGGACAAAAAACCAGCTTCACAACCTCCACCCTGCGCGAAAGTACGTCCGCACGCTGCGAGATCCTCCTCGCAGGGCTTTTGTCGGCGTCCTCCTACAATGTTGCGGCTAAGAAGAGACAGAATCTGCATCGCGAATCCCTCCTCCTTTTCTGAACCACCTCATGCCTCCTCCTTTCCCCATACTTGCGTCGCAGCAGCTCAACTCGCCGACGCTTGATTCCGTGCACGCGTGAGCCTCGCCGCAATGCGTCGGCGACGTCCGATCTGTACTTGTGCTTCAAAGACGTTGCACAGTATCTTCGGAAAGGAAACCCACAAGCCAGCATATGAGGGGGACGCCCCTACGTATGTGTACACGTATATATATATATATATATATATATATATATGCGTTGCGGGGGGACGCCCCTATATCATGTTTATATCTATACATGCCCGGCACCGCAAAAAAAAACACATTGAGATCTGCTCGTGACTGCTGTCGCTGGCGCCTCATCATCATCCGCTGTCGCTGGCGCCGAATGAACACACCACGAGCCAATTCTTGAGCCAAAGAAACACGGTGTCGAATGGCACCGCACAGTGCCACCTCTGTGCACGCATGCCTGCCCATGTTATGTACGCGTGTGTGTAGAATATAAGATTGCATGTGCTTCTGTACATATACGCAAATGTAGATGTATCTATACAACCATTAGTACATACCAACGTACCAAGTTGCTGAGGCTGAACCTGATGCGAGGCCGCAGCAATCGGCGGCAATTTGGCGCGGCGACATGGGGGGGCCACTGCACAAGACAAAACCACGCGCGAGATAGCGAGAGACGGATTGTTCATGCTGCACGGACCCCCCCCCCACCCAAGGCCTTCCGAGATATCTCAAGGGGTCGGCGGTGTGGCGTAAGCCCATGTATCATTGATTTTCGATTGGTTTTTGGTAAATTTTGGGGTTCTCCTCGTTTGGGCTTCCCGACGCTCCAAGACAGCGGTCTTCTGGGCGTCCGAAGCCGCCTGGGAGGCTCTAAAATCGCCCCATAACCATTCCAAAGGGCTTCCAGGCAGTCCAAGAGAGCCCCAAAACGGCACAACAGGGGTCCAAGATGACCCTCAGAGAGCCCCACGGCGGCCCAAGATGGCCCCAAGACACCCTCCGAAGCATTCCAAATCGTGACCCGGTCGTTCAGGGAGACCGCGGTTGGAGGCAGGGCGACCCTAGGAAGCCCCCAGAGGTCCCCAGAACACGCCCAAGAGGCCTCCAGAAGGCCTTAAGAAAGCTTGACATAACTTTTGCGAGGCCCCCAGAGGCTCTCCAAGGAGGAGCCTCCGCAAAAAGAGCCGAGGAGGATGGGGAGAATGCGCAGGGTACGGCGACAATGAGGAAAAAGAAGCATGGAGAAAGGATAACGAATAACATTATTATAGCGGCCATGCCAGAAAAGGCAACAAGGAGTTATCGCTAAATTGTCGGCTTGACCTTCCTGCTATTCCGCCTGCGTGCCAAACTTCAAGGACCAAGGTGCATGGCGCAAAACGCCACTGCCGTCTTGTGTATATATATATATATATGTATTACACACCGGCCCTGTCGCCCTGCACGGACTGATCCTGCTCGGGAGATGCCGCGCAGGAAAAGGTGGCCCATAGGGCCCCGTGGTCCCAGACCCCCCAGCGCCAGGATTTCTTGGCACAACGTCCACCCCCAGAGGCCTCGACCCGTTCCCCGGGACCGGCCTTTCCTCCCGAGTCGTTCCTGGACGGCCCCCGGGGCCTGGTAAGGGCCAGGGGCCGAGCACGGCCCGAAGCCTCCCGTGCTCGGCTTGTTCTGCGGCGCGAGCACGGCTGGGGTCGTGACCTCTGGGGTCCACGGGATCGGTGCGGCTCGAAAAAGCGCGGGGTCGCCCATCGGGAGGAGGAGGCGGAAGAGGAGGAGGAGGAGGAGGAGGAGGAGGAGGAGGAGGAGGAGGCTGCTGCTTGGAAGGCGCCGGCCCAACATCGAAAGATATGACCGCGCCTTCTACGGAGCATTAGGTCGGGCGTGTCCTCCTACAGGCGAGTTTTGGACGAAAAATGCAACATAGTCAAACAATACCCCTAAAATCTTCAAACCTAGTCAACAAATCGTCCACAGACTATCTTTAAACTATTTTTGAATATCCCTCCTCTTGAGGACACGCCCGACTTACACGAAGCAGCCTCCTTCCAAGAAGCCTTCCCCCCCCGCCCCGTGCGTGGCCGATCCATCACTGGGTCTTTTCTTGGCGGCCAGGGGGCCTGAGCGAGAGCTGCCGAACACCTCTTCCCGAGCTTCTTGGTTCACCAAAGCCGTGAATACGCAGTAGCGAAGGGCTCCTCGAACTCGACCTGGGGCCCGAAGACGCCCCAGACTCACGGCGAACGCCGTTCATCCAGCGTGCACTATGGGCCGAAAACCTCCCATCGCGATGATTCCCGCCCAACGAGCCGAGGTGTTGGGACGCCGAGGTGGGGGGATCGATGTGGTAAGCTTAGAAGAAGAAAAAACGCGAACGCTACAAACATGAACTTTTGGAGCTCCGCGCGGGTTTCTTGGTTCCGCGGCGGACCCGCCTCCCTGGCGCGCGGAGCGTGCCAGGGGCGGCGCCGGAGGCGCTGCTGGGGGGGCCCAGCGCGCAACGCCAAAAGTTTGTCTATAGCGTTTTTTCTTCTTCGAAAGCTGGCGTCCGCCGAAGCTCCAGTGTGGGGAAGAGGAGGGGGAGGAGGAGGAGGAGGAGGAGGAGGAGGAGGAGGGGAGGAGGAGGAGGAGGAGGAGAAGGAGGAGGAGGAGGAGGATCGAGGTGGCAAGCTGGCGCTTGCCCAAGCTCCTGCCCTCGATGCCCAGGTCGGCCAGCTCCCGGTCTAGCACGCTCTCCAGGCCCACGGCGGTATCGAGCAGCAGACGCCGTGGCTGCTCCTCCACGCCGCCGGCCTCGACGCGCGTTGGCGGCCCGATGACGACGACGACGACGACGACGACGACGACGACGACGGCGAGCGACGACGACGACGATGACGGCGACGACGACGACGACGACGACGGCGGCGGCGGCGGCGGCGGCTGCGGCGGCGGCGGCGGCGACGGCGGGTGCGCCTCGACGCGCGCCGCGGCCCGGCGCGCCGCGGCCAAGCCCGCGCAGGCCCGCCGCGACCCGGCGGCCTTCGGGAGGAACAGCAGGGGAGGACGTCCATTGCACCAGCCTTGCAGACGTGCTGCAGCGGATTTCTGCGTGGACTTTTGCCCGAAACGACAAGTGAAAAACGAAGTGAATTTCGCGTGGATTCTTTTTGGTCTTTAGTCCTGGCCCAAAAAAGTCCGCACGAGATTCACCTCGAAATCCGGAACGAAATTCTCCAGGACACCCCGGGCCCACCCTATCGTTTTCCGAGCGAAATCCGCTCTGCGATGTTAGCGCCCTGGTGATGGCCCTGTGGGTGGGCGCAGTGCAGGCGCGGCAACAGGTCCAAACCCCCGCGAGTCATTCAACGATCACGGCCGAATTGCTCCTCACCATTCTCGGCCTCGGGGGGCCCGGACCGGCTCTCGGGACCGTAAAACAACGACTCGGGATGAGAGGACGGTCGTTGGGAATGGTCGAGACCCTTGGAGTCGGAGTCGTAAAATCAAATCATACCGTCGAGGTCTCGGGCCAAGGCCACGCTCACGGCGATGTCGCATAACGGTGATGCTGGAAGCCGAACTGCAAGAAATCACGGACCACACTTTCCTGCATTTCCAATCTGCGGATGCACCGGACGACAACGACGCAACGAATTGTAGGAAAGCGCGAGCCGCGCGTTCCAACAATACCGAAACCTACACAGCCGCTGCCTGCATCGTTAGCGTGTCCACGGTCGGGGGGGGGCACAGCCCAGTGGGTGGGCACCATGTAGGCGCGGCAGCGGAGGGCCCCTTGAACGCGACCCTGGGGCAGAAGAGAAAGCCTCGGCGACAACCGGGGGGGCTCCAATCGACCGTGTCTTCGTCCACGAGGCTCCCTGGCGCATTCGTGCAGTGCCCGCCCCCTAGGCGATCCACCCCTCCCAGCGTGACACTAAGTCGAATCGGAAAACCGAATCGGTGATCGAAATGCGCAGAGTCGGCAAGAGTCGGCAAGCAGATCGGAAGGCATCGGACTCGACGCCCGCTGGCCCAATCCAAGGTATGTACACGAGGAGGGGTCAAGAACCGACACGAATCGAAGTCGGACACCTCGAAACCGAATGAGTTCGAATCGACATAATCGAAATAACTCGTGTGCACTCAACGCGTCCTCTGTCCACTTCCACCGGGGTGGGGCAACGCCGCTCGTGGACATGTCGCGGGGGCTCCGCGGCCTCTGTGTTGATGCCGAACTACTCTGTCGATGCCTTGCTGTCCTGGGGCTTTGCTGTGTTCTTGCCCGCTAGGGCATTCGACACGTGTGCGGATCTACACTGCCAATGCCACGCCTTCCTGCCTGTGGCTTTGCTGCGTTCCTGCTCTGAACGCGCACCTCTTGCAGCGGCGGAGAGAACTTGAAAAATCAGCCCAACATAATGCAATCCATGGGTCTAGACAAAAATCGGAATCCAAAATCGAAACGAATCGAAACCGGAATTTCCGAAACCGAATCGATCCGAACCGACAGAGCCGATGGCTCCTCCAACTTCCGCCTCCGCCGAGCCGACGACGATGGCGTCGACGTCGACGGCGGCGACGCCGACGACGCCGACGCCACCGAGCCTCGGCCCCGCCGCCGGCCGCCGCTGGCACCGCCCGCCGCAGCGCCACGGCCCCGCGCGCTGCGGCCCCGCGACGCGCCCCGCCCGCGCGGCACGCCCGCAGCGCGGCCGCGGCGCCGCGGGGGCCCGCGCCGAGCGCGGGGGGCGCTCGGGCGAGCATGGCGCGGCGCCTCACGGCGCCCGGGGCGAACGCCGGCCGCTCCCAGACCCCCCCTCGCGCTGCGAAGCAATCGTGACGGGAAGCTCCTCGCCCCTCCTTCGGCACCTGGCCAGGGCACGCGCCGGGCCCCCGGGGCCGTCCAGAAAGGCGATCGTGATGGAAAACCGGTCCCGGGGAAGGGGTCGAGACCTCTGGGGGTCGACGTGCTGAAAAAATCACGACGTCGGGGGTCTGGGCTCTGGGGGGGCAGCTCGTCCGGGGGCGGAGGCGCCCGGGAGCGCCTCCGCCGTCGCAGGCATCACGCGCCCAGGCCCCCTGCGAGTCATGAAAGGAAGCCGCGGCGCGGGCGATGGGGGCCGCCGGCCGGCCAGGGGGGTATGCGCGGGCCCGGGCCCAGGCCCAGGAGGTTCGAGGAAATGAGTTTTTCCAATCCAGCGTTTTTTCCTGGGGCTCGAGGAGATTTGTTTTTCCAATCCAGCGTTTCTTCCTGGGGCTCGAGGAGATTGTTTCTTCCAATCCAGCGTTGTTTTCCGGGATTTCGGCCTCCGGGGCGCGTCATCGGGCCCGGGGACCATCAAGAATGGGTCCAGGGCGAAAAACTACTCTCGTCATGGCCGGCGGAACTTGCTACTATGATGCTGTACCCCCGATACCTCAGTCGACCAGGCCTCCCTCGCAGCGACCTAGGATATACTAGCTCTGACTGCGAGTACGCGCAGACCGCTGCGAGACCAGGCCTCGGATGTGATAACAACGACGACGACGAGGACCCCGACGATCAACCACGCCGCGGACCACGCCGACCTGATCAACGATGACTCCAACTTGACTCGGCACATTGTCAGATACCATCGATGATGTCTATCCCACCAGCCCTCAGGGTGCAGGTGTTCTATTGATGTCTTTCTTTCAAAAGACCCTTCTTCCCCTTCGGGGAGGGGCTGACCCCTCCTCCTACCCCTCCCCTGGATTTGGACTCGCGAGGTGTCAGAAGACTTTTTTTCGCCTAAGATGACTCCAAGGGGGCCTCTGAGAGCCCAAGATAGCGTGCAAGATCGCTCGAGATAGCCTATCATGGCTTAACACAGCTAATAACATGCCTCCAAGAGGCCTCAAGAGGGCCACAAAACGGTTCCAGTTGCTTTTGGCGACCCCTCAGGACCTCCCCGGGAAGCCAAAATCTTATCAAAACCTCAGGACGATCACTGATTTGTGACTTCTCGCCTTTTCGCTTCCGATGCGCTTTGAGACCTCAAGATGGCCCTGAGATGGCCCAAGAGAGCTCCAATAAGGGACCAAGACGCCCCCAAGACTGCCCCAAGAGCGCCCAAGATCGCCCCAAGACTCAGAGGGGGGAGGAAAATCTAGGACCCCCCCTCCTTTGATCGATGGTCTCCAAGATGGCCCCATGATGCGCTTCATAGCTCCCAAGAGGGCCCAGATAGAGCCCCAGCAGAGCCCCAAGAGGGCTCCAAAACGCCCCCAAAGAGCCCCAAGAGGACGCCAAGACCCCCCAAAGAGCCCCAAGATGGCCCGATGCCCCAAAAGAGCTCTGGGCCCTGGGGATGGCCCGAAGAGGCCCTCCAAGGCCACCCCTTTGCTCCCTGAGATCTCTCTTCTCCATCCTAGTTGCCGCTTTGTTTCACTATATGTGTCCCTTCGTCCCTTTTCCCGTCAGCTCTCATGGGCAGAGCACATGAAGGGGCTGGTGGGGATTCGCGAAGCAAAAGCAATTCTAATAAGAAGATTGCCAGTTGATTCCTGTTGATTCCGATTGCTTCCTAGTGACTCCAATTGCCCCCGACTGGTTCATATTGTTCCCTGTTGATTCTTACTTAGTGTATCCTATCGATTCATAGTGGTCCCCATTGATTCCTACTGCTTCCTATTGATTACAAATGATTCCTGTTGGTTTCAACTAATCCCTGCGGAATCCGATTGGTTCCTATCGATTTCCATTTGGCCTTCTCGTTTCCTAATGACACTGATTGACTTGTGTTGCATCATCTTTTTCCAGTGTCTGCTTGAGGAACGGAGCCTGGCACAGGGCAGCTTTGGCAGGCGACAACGGCCTGCGGCAGTAAAGACGTCTGGAGGCAACGGGCTGGCTTTGGGAGCCAGAAAGACTATAGAGCAGGTATGAAACGGAACTGTGCGATGCAAACTCGTTCAACAACGTACATGCATCATCTTTTTTCCAGCATCTGCTTGAGGAACGGAGCCTGGCACAGGGCAGCTTTGGCAGGCGACAACGGCCCATCCACAACAAAGCACAGCGCCCATCAACAAGCATTGCACTGGCCTAGCCGTGAAGCAACATCCATTTTCTAGAGACCACCTTGGCGACAATTGTTTGCGAGAACATTCGAGCAAGCTGCTTGCAGAGAGCGTCGGGATAGGCGGACTTTTGCTGAGTGCGAAAGTGGGTGGCACCGCTCTCCTTCCCAGACAGCTCGAGATGGGGCTGTCCTGAAAAATCGCACACGCCGCGGCCATGACACTTCATAGCCAGGAGAGAAGGAGAGGGGCGACAATGCAGAAATTGGAGCTTAGTGCGCGCACGAAAGGGACGACCTGCAGCACATTGATCAACTACTGCTTCAGAGAAAAAAGGAGAGTGATGGCGACGTGCTCTGTCAGGAAAATGCCAAAGCCAACTGCTACCAGGGTTCTCTTCACCGATAGGGATGCCAAACTTTGCTGCTAGCTGCCAGATCTGACCCGCGCGGGAGGCAAGCAGGTTGCCAAGCTCAAGCTTGGCCTGATCGGCTGCAGCTAAGCCCGGCAAGCCAAAGACGTGTGCGCTGTCACGAAGGCGTCGAGGCATGCGGGATGCAGGGCCGCCTCGTCGCGCTTGCGAAAGCGACTCGCAAGGCGTGCCCAAAAAAATGGCCTTGACTTTGCCGCTGGCGATCCAGCCGCGAAGCACGGCCCAAGGCGCAGGCTGGGCAAGATCAAACTCCTGCCCGTGAAGGACATCCCACTCAATAACAGCATGCCCTGCCTGTCGCAAGTGCCGCGCAAGGTTGCCGGAGCCACTGAAAAGGTCAATGAAAATGCGGGAATCATGTCCCTTGCTACTCATCACAGCTGAAGAGAGTACTGCATGCAGGCGGCGTCGAATCCAGCGGCCAAATGTTCGATCTCCAGCCCCTGGTGGGCTGGAATCGTTATCTTTTCGATCGCCACTCACGCGCGCTTGTCGTAGCGCAGCACGTTGTTGAAGGCGTGCCAGTTTCCGCGCTGCAGCCCCTCCATTAGCGTGCGGCTGCCCG